ATAATAAAAATTCTGGGAAACCTCTGGCTGAAGAGCAGGCTTCTCAGCAGGGGAGCAAAAGTCAGGAAAAAACTTCATTCAGAACGAAAACACTAACAAAATTTTTTTTAACATGCTCCAGATTTTTCTATACTCGGTGACACCACCCTGTGCCTTTTACAATTTATTTTTTTTTGTCCACCGTTCTGTTTATTCCTTTCAGAAAATGTTTATTTGCTGGAGAGTTCGCATACCAACCAAACGGACATCCAGCCTGTCCACTTCAAAATACGTTCAGGTTTATATGATACCTTTTTTTAACCCAAAAAAGACAGGATTGGCGTTACACAGACTAACCTCACTTAACATTATAACACATCAAATTTGCTTGTTGCAAGAGTAAAACTTTTCAAGCATGTCGTCTTCTGCTGGCACATGCAATTTCTACTACAGTTCAGGGTTTAAGAAAAAAACACCAAAAAAAAAACTTAAATGAAGCAGCAAACAGAAAAAAGCATGCAGATGTAACTTAAAGCAAAACAAGTGCAATTCAATGTGGCACCTCTGGCTCCCAACTTCTTCCTCTCTGCATCTACACAGTTCACGTACGTTCAGTATTTCTAAAGGACAGGGGAATATAGTGAATACTACTCAGAAAGGGGAAAACAAGGAGAAGAGAAGGGGAAAAAAAAAAAATCCCAGCACATGGTTTTCACCACTACTCTGCTGAATCAACAGGGAGCAGATTCCCAGATGGCGTACACTGGTAAGTACTGCACAAGTCAATGAAGCTATGTCAAACGATACCACTCAACTGCATTATCTTTTGAGCTCCGTGTAAACAAACAGGAGCAGATTCCGAATATTTGTGAGAATACATCATGTTACTGTCTCCATATGTTTAAACATTTTAGTAGAAGGTACATATGGACCATTCTTCCCACTCACTGTCATTCTCTCCCTCCTGTTCCTCATTCCCCACATACACCATATCTTTTCAGGCCACTGTCAAACCAATTCAAAAAGGAATAAGGATACATTTTCATTAAAAACATTTTGTGCTTAGCTGCCATCTGCTTCTTTATCAGTCTCCAAATCCTCACATGCCTTTTCCATGGTTCTCAGTTTCACACATTCGGAAGCTGAAAGTTTTCTTCTGTTGTATTGTGAAGCGCAGTCTACGTGAGCTATTGTTTTTCATGTCAAATTCACCCCTTTTGAAACAAGTGCTTAATGCTTAAGGCCCTACTCCATGTTCTCTCTACGATGTCAATTTAAACCTAATTTTTTTTATGTCAGTGGCAAATCTAATCTTAAAGGTCCCTCATGCACTTCAGACACTCACCTTCACTGTTTTTATGGGAAGCATAATCCCCATATTTCTTCCCCTTTGTGCAGCACTGTAATTTGCTCTCTCACAAAGGGAAGACTTGGACTTCCAGACTGTGCTCTTGTCCTCTCACACAGAAGCTACAGTTGAAGCCGTTACCCCTTCATAGCGGGTATTAATAGCTTGTCCTCCCCATAATCAGACCCCTACTCTCTCTTTCATCTGAGTAGGAAAGGAAGGGTTTCAGCTAATAGTTGACAGAGAACATTGCCAACTTAACTGGGGGGTAGACGGAGACTGGATGAAGTTAAAAAGAAAGAAAAAACCACCCATACACAATTCATCTCATGTATGGATCACTGCTAGTTTTGCTATTACTTTCCCAGAGAAACAGTTTGCCTTAGTTCATTTCTTATGGCCCCAGAAAACACAAAAGTGTCTTAGGAAGCATTAGGGACTTGTTCGAAAAACACCACAAAGGTCATGGTAGACAAGTGATCCTAAACTTCCAGGAAGGCTTTCAAGGTTGTAATTTACATTTGGCTTCTGCAGGCTTACAAAGGCCTAGTGACTAAGGCAGCTGACCTCAAAACTTAGTCATCAGCAAAAGGAATATAGAAAACAACAAAAAGTTTTCATTACACTATACCAATGGACAGGCAAAGCAAGCATGTCAGAGACTAGTCTTTCAAGGGGTACAGCAGGAACAGTTTTTCTGGTTCTCCCATCAATCCCTGAGCAAGATGCAGGCAGCTTCCATACATGTTTCCAGCAGACACATCTGCCAGGAAAAAAAAAAAAAAAAAGGCACAACAACAAAAGGCTGTAATCTTATTTGTATGTCTGGATGCTCAGTTTTTATCTTTTCCATCTCTACCTGTGCCCCGAAGCACAACCACTGATGCAAACAACTCCAGTACTCTCCTTTTATCTTGAGGGATTCTTCTACATGGACCTGCAACCCAAGTGAAGTACAGCTGGCATTTGATATGCCAAAAGAAAAGTAGGTGCAAGTCGGAGATGACAGCATGCCAAACCCAACACAGTATGCTGCAGCTCCAAAGGGAGCAAACTAGTAAGGCTGCTGCTGCCTTGGGGCACTTGAAGGTAAAGGAATGTACACTACATAGAAACCAGGGCAACAAAACTGGCAGAGAAGCCACTCACACTCTACAGTGAACCTTAAAAAACAAAACAAAAATTTTAAAAGTTACAGCTTCTTTGTAGCTTGTTCTACTATACAAATGTCAACGGATTATTCAAAGTCAAACACAGCATATCCTTCCCTCTCTCCTCCCTCAACAAGTTATATTGAAGGAAGCACAGTGTTCTTCCTTTGTTTGTGAGCAAGAGAAAGATGGAAAAAAACAACTTCCACTCAACAGCAAAACTAAACAGAAGCCAGGCTACTTAAAGTACTAAGTGTTCCCACACAACATTTACCCACCAACTTCAGATCTTTCAGCATAAAACCTAAACAAGGGACAAAAGAGATTTAATATACACTCCTCCACAGATCCAGAGAGAAGAAAAATAAAAAGGCATAAAGGAACCCTGAGTGATAGACAGCCTTTTCAGTTTAACATTACTGTGACGCACAAGGAGAGTGTCAGGGTTAAATTAGATACTACACTAGAAAAATATGCCGTGGAAAATAACATAGGTCTCATATCTCTACTGGTAGGAAAACACAGACTGAAACACTCAGCAACTTAAAAGTCCTTGCTTCTATTCTTTTCCATTTCTTGTGTAATTTTGTACTGCAAGGGTCCTCTCCAGATCAGCAGTTCATTACCAAAGCGTCCAATCAATCTAGCAGGAAAGACAAAAAGCTTCCTTTTGAACAACTGCATTTATACTTCCCCTGTTATTCTTCAGAACAGAAGTACTTTTGGGTTGGATATTTTTGTTGCTTTTTTGTTTTGTTTTAGATGAACGGCTGACAAATTTTTATTAAAGTCCTCTTCCTCAAAGTCAGTGGCTTACCATGACCAACAGATTAAATAGGTCCAACTTTTCTCACTCTCTTTATCAATTAGAACTCGATCATTTCTTTATACGCTCTGCATCCCAAGATACTATAAACCTACATTGTTTTTCCACAGTATAACGCTCTTAACAAGCCTTTCACATCTCTTTTCCAACACTTGCTTTCTTCTTCACAATCTCCCACAAAAGGAAGGTGAAAGCATATAGGACAAGAAAAACATTACCTACATCCTTGTCTTAAAAGTGCTGCCATCGTAACTATGACCTCACTTTATTTAAGCAGGTTTCTTCTCACGTGCATTTGGGATCCAAATTATTTTAACATTGCCCTAGAATCCAACAAGCTTTTTGTGCACATTACTTCTGTCTATTCCAAACAGCCAGAGCACACAAGAGAAAGCAAGTAAGTTGTTGTACTATTAAATACACTCTCGTTACATCCATTCAAACCACTAAAGACAGGAATCACCTAGGTCACCCTCTGTAGACAACAGAGTTACACTCTTTTAATGAAGACATAAATTTGGCCTGCAGAAGCCTAATGACTCATAGCAACACGTGGTAAGAAAGCAATGCAGCTCACTTCCCTCACCTTGGACAAATCACAGTCTCCCAGCAACAGGCTGAGGGGGTTTCTTTTCTTTGTTTAAAAACAAACCTTGTTTCCTGTCGGAAGTATTGATAAAAGCAGAGCCCTACAAATGCCTTTTTTCAGAGATATTTTTGGCATGTGTTGACTGAAACCTCCCTACAAGGTATTTTCATTTCAGTTCTAACCGAACACGAGGCGTTCAATTCTCTCACACTGTGGTGTTTCGTCTCATATAGGAGCTTTGGTCAAGACCATAAGTGGAATTCATGAACTGTTCCTCCCCGTGACGACTGCTTGTAATTAAGCCCTACTGACACTGCAGGGTTCAGCTTTCGTAAAGTTACAGGATGAACTCAAAAAGCCTGCCATGTAATCATGTTATCTGAGTAAACCATGTATGTTTACTCTATTTTTAAAAAGTGAGAAGAGATCAGGTTTTGTTTTTGCTAATACTTGCTATCAGAAAGACATAAACCCCGTCATGCCAGATAAGAACAAAACGGGCAAGGATAATTTCACCGAGAGTCAAGATACCCACTGACTCTTTGGCACGCACTGTACTGTAAAAACTGGTTTCAATAACAAAGTACTTGCGTACACCATTTACCATTACAGGAATTTCTGAAGGTGCATGTCAAGGGAGGCAAAAAACAAAGTCAAAGCCCAGTTAACAGCTTCAGTACGGCTCTGACTCTGACACACACACAACGTCACTTCAGCAAGGAGGAGATGGCATTCAACAGCCACCT